GGGGACTCGAAGGAGAAGAAGATGAGGGGGAGGCGGAGGAGGAGAGAAGAAGAAGAAGAAGAAGAAGAAGAAGAAGACGATGGCGGTGGCGGCAGGGCGGTAGGGTATGGTGGCGGGGTATGGCGGCGGGCTGCAGCGGCGGTCCTACAAGAAGAAGAAGACGAAGACGAAGAAGAAGAAGAAGAAGAAGAAGAAGAAGAAGAAGAAGAAGAAGAAGAAGAAGAGGAGGAGGAGGAGAGGAGGAAGGAGAAGAAGATGAGGGGGAGGCGGGGGAGGAGAGAAGAAGATCAAGAAGAAGAAGAAGAAGAATGGAGCAGTTTTTTTTTTTCTTTCTTACCTGTCGTTTATCTCGCGACCTATCGCTGACGAATGGAACCAAAAAAAAAAGAAAAAGAAGATAGTTGGAAGAGGAGGAGGAGGAGAGAAGAAGAAGAAGAAGAAGGCAGTGCGGTAGGGTATTGTGGCGGCGGGCGGTAGGGTATGGCGGCGGCAGGGAGGGAGGTATGGCGGTCCAAGAAGAAGAAGAAGAAGAAGATGGGCGGAAGAGGAGGAGGAGGAGAGAAGAGGAAGGAGAATAAGATGGGGGGAGGCGGAGGAGGAGAGAAGAAGAAGAAGAAGAAGAAGAAGAAGAAGAAGAAGAAGAAGAAGAAGAAAAAGAAGATGGGAAGAAGAGGAGGAGGAGAGAAGAGGAAGGAGAAGATAAGGGGGAGGCGGGGGAGGAGAGAAGAAGAAGAAGAAGAAGAAGAAGAAGAAGAAGAAGAAGAAGAAGAAGAAGTGACAAGGGGAGCAGTTTTTTCTTTTTTTTCTTACCTGTCGTTTATCTCGCGACCTATCGCTGACGAATGGAACAAAAAAAAAAAAAACAAAGAAGATAGTCGGAAGAGGAGGAGGAGGAGAGAAGAAGAAGAAGAAGAAGAAGAAGAAGAAGAAGAGGAGGAGGAGAAAAGAAGAAGAAGAAGAAGAAGAAGAAGAAGAAGAAGATGATGATGATGAGAGGGGGACGAGCGACGGGCGACTCCACGACGCTGGCAATGGGCAACGGGCGACTCCACGACGCTGGCAACGGGCGACGGGCGACTCCACGACGACGGGGGAGTGTAGCTCCCAGGTGATGGACAACGGGCAGCAGGAGGAGCGAGGGCGGCTGAACCACGAACGCAGGCGGCTGGGGAAAACTGAGGCCCCGTTTGGACAGCTGATGCAGGCCGCCCCAGCCAGTCGGTTGTTCAAACGGGGCCTCGTTTTTCCCTCCAAAAATCAAACGGCCCTCTGGCCGTCGATCATGGATGATCGACGGCTGGAGGGCCGTCACAATTTGAAAAAAAAAAACTGGCCTCACGGGCCCGACGCGCCGTTTTTTGGGCCTGGTCGGACCCGGTAGGCCCTGGGGATGCCAGAACTTGGCGATTCGGGGTAGGAACCCCCCCCCAAACAACGTGTGCTGGGGGTGCCCGGCCCCCAACCGGGCCGCCCGGGACCTCCCCCGGGCAGGCGCTGGTCGGCCGGGCGGCCCGGATCCATACTCAGGAATAAATTCATTTTCCGAGAATGTGACAACCTCCTATTTTGCCTGGAAAACGAAACGATCTTGCGAGGGCCTGAAAAATGGCCCGTCGTTTTCAGGCTGGAGGCCGAAACGACACAGGGCCTGTAGGCCCTCATTTCAGGCTTTTAGGCTGAAATGACACAGGCTCTACTCCTACGGACCCTTAGTCTACCAGGTCGGGCTCTGCTGGGCCCGTGTGGTACGGAGTATGCCACACATACCTAGGCTATGGCGGACTACCAAGGGCTCTGCCCTCCTGTCCAAAGGGCAACACAAAGCAGCTATGTTGCTGCTCATCAGGCTGGCATGCCTGACTCTGCCTTGATCGTCCTTGGTGCGGCACCACCCCAACTGGGGCCTTCCAGATGCAGCGCCTAACAAGGTGATGAAGATGGTGTCCATCATAGCCAGGTAGGTATCTCACCACTCTCCTCCTTCACCCCCCTTCTTCCTCCTCCTCAAGCTGGGCTGCTCGCCATAGCCAGGCTGAGCGCCCAGCTGCTCTCCTCCTCCAGGCAGCGCTCCAAGTCCAGCGCTAGGCTCCGGCAATATGTCACCAATCCTTGCACACCACAAATGAGGAGGAGGTACTTGCTCCTGAAGATATAGCGGCCTACTTCACTCTTGGGGGGTGACTTCCTAGGCCGCGCGGCCTCCCAGCAACCGGTACCTCCTCCCTTTCAGAGGGAAACATCATTGCAGGCTTTAATATCGTCCGTACAGGCCCTAGACTCAGGCTACTTGGACTGGTACCAGCCTACCTCTAGCCTACCGCTACTGGGCCTCTAAAATTGCCAATGTTTTGTGTTCTTCTGCTCAGCCTCGAGTGCCCAACACTTCTACCACTAATTGAGTGGTACTGGCCTACCTGCTACTTGAGTCTTTTCCCCGCTGCAACCCTCAAAGTTACGGCCACAGGTAAGTACCGGCCCTGCAGGGCCTCTCAACCAACAAGTACACTTGCGGGTCACACACACACTCAGGCCGACAAGCACTCATACGACATGTAGACCAGCAGGCACACACACCCACACAGACTTAGACATCACAGCAGAATGCGGGAATCTCAGCAAGGCATACATTCCAGCAGCAAATCCCAGAAATCAGCAGTGTTCTCAGTCTGTGTTTTGGCGGGTCATTACATTGATAGGTTTTTGTCAATGAAGTAAATGGATGTTGATGCCCTTTTGCTGGCCCACCTCTCCGTGCTGGTATCCTTGTCTTCTTCCTTCTGCCACCACCCCAGTGACCACACCCAGGCGTGAAGATGAGTAATCTATCAGGCCTGACCGCTTCACAACTCATTTACACTTTTCTTCCTCTTCCCAAAGCACCATGCCCCCCCTACTCTAGACCATTGTAGTGCNACAACTCATTTACACTTTTCTTCCTCTTCCCAAAGCACCATGCCCCCCCTACTCTAGACCATTGTAGTGCAGAAAACATCTGATGTCTTTACTAATCCACCCCCTGATGAACAGTCCAGCATGGTCAAATTGGGATGTGATTTCCTCCTCTCCAACCCCAGAGTTGGAGAGCTTCAGCTCAATACACAACAAGGTGGATTTGAAAATCATAAAGAACTGTGCTCCCCAATGAAGAACACACCTTAACAATCAGAACATTGCCTCACCTTTAGCTGCTCCTGCAGTCTTGATATTGCCTCCCTTGCAGCAATAAGCTCCCCGTGTAATCTCTCCTGCATCCATCCCAGTATTTTGTCCAGAGAGCATCATCCCCATAGAAATACCATCAGCCTTGCCTAGTCCTCTTCGTTTGTCCATATCCCCAATCCTCTTCATTTGTGAATGACCAGTACATTCAGCCCTGTTATCACGTGACACCATTGTTTTGGTTTTCAAAGTTCTCGTTCCAATGAGAGCCCTTGGAAGAGCCCTACATCGTTTCCGTTGTCCCTCCCAGCTTAAGACACCTGCCTTCACAACCAGATGACCAGTTGAGGCCTCTCTCTCTCTCTCTCTCTCTCTCTCTCTCTCTCTCTCTCTCTCTCTCTCTCTCTCTCTCTCTCTCTCTCTCCCCCCAGGAAGAGAGGGAATGTGGGTGTTGTATGGCAAATCCATCTATTTACCAGTGGATTTGAACCAGGTTCGTACTTTTCACATTAGAAAGAGAAATGACCACAAAGACTATGTAACAAAGCTGGAAAGATATAGATCCATTAAAACAGTATTCTGGACTAAGATTTCTCTTCAACTTCCTATGCAAGTGGGCAAGGGGGTGGGGTGGGGGGGGTAAATAATTAAGCAGAGGCAGAGTTGCATCCACCGACTGTCGGCGGACCTCGGTCCGTCGGATGCCGACCAGCCGGCCATTTTGACGGTCGGCACGGACCGGTCGCGGCAGGGGTCGGCCTGCTGCACTTTCGCACGGCGGCGCCCCGCACCCCATAGGCCCTGTTTGGGGGTTTGGGCCCATACAGGGTGGTTGACCGTTCGGGGCGAGGCCTGGGAGGCCGCCAACCGTCGACATCAGCATTTCCGTGGTCCGTGGCACTCAAAAGAGTGCAGCTGCCCGCACTCTTCTCATTCTCCTGTGGTGGCATTGTGGGCAGCCATGAGTGTGGGCAGCTGCATTGCCTGGGGAGGTGAGAAGAGTGTCGGCAGCTTGAAGCTTGGTGACAGCTGAGGTGGGGTGGAGTCCACTCACCTGGTTCTCATTTGGAGGGTCTTCAACGATTCATAGCCAGCAGTCTTCCTCAGTAAGGTTCCTGCATTGCGGCATTCAAGAAAGGCTGCCGCTTTCTGTCTCCTCTGGTCAGTGTGTGTGTGGGAGAGAGATCAACTGCCGAAGAGGGAGAGAAAAGGTTCCACCTTCTGTACTTCTTCTTCTTCTTCTTCTTCTTCTTCTTCTTTTACTTCTTCTTCCCCATCTTCTTCCACTATTTCTTCTTCTTCTCCATCGTCTACTTCTTCTTCTTCTTCCTACTGTGAGGATTGAGCCCTCAAGTAGGGGCCTTGCCATAAAGTACATTTTCTGGGCTAAGGCCCCAGCAAGCCTAGTGCCCGCCCTAAGTGAAGGCGGGCCAGCAAATCGACAAGAGCCCTCTGTGCAACATTTCACGAAGTGGGGTTCATACAGTTGCAGCACGCCAGTTGGTTGGAGTGCACCGAGTCTCGGATTTCAGCAAATGCTGAAAGCCCAGGGCCTCTGAGTTGGTTAGGCCCTGGGCATCTGAACGTGAGGCCGACAATGCATGCTGGGAAGAGAGGCCGAAAATGCCAAAGGGGAATCGGCCCACTGTCTGAATCTGGCCGCAGGCCTTGATGAAGGAGGCGCAACTGCCTTACCCCGGGGCCCAACTGTATCGAGTTGGCTTCAGCCTCTGGGCCCCGGTCACAGGCTGAAGGGAGGCCGCCCACACACTGCACTGGCATATAGGCAAGCAGGGCGAGGCAGCGGGGATCTTGGCCAATGCTGGCATACGCGGGCACGCTGCGTGGATGCAAGTGTGCTGCGTTAATGCAGAGCAGCGCTGCGCTAAGAAGAAGCAGGGCAGCGCTAGGCGGTAGGGCGCTGCTTGCTTGCAGAGCACTGGCGGCCATAGCCGGGCCGCAAGAGGGTGCAGGGGAGGTGAGGGC